GGGACCGCAGCTAACAATTATCTCCGTGTGCATTTCATTCTCAGCAATAGCCTAGCCTCCCCGGCGTATACGCCCCATCTGCTTTCTTTAACATCAACCAATTCATCCACGGATTTAGAAGACTAGAAACAACTTCAGAAGTAATCACGACGAAAATTTTAACAAAATTATGCAAAACAACAAGATAAGAAAACAACAAGTAAACACAATGAATCCAAAACCACCAATTGATATGACACACCACACGTATGTATAAACGGTATACACAAACTCGCCGATCGTGTCTCGATGGAATTCCTTTGAAGAATCGCAGGACTTACACCAGTACGCCTACAACCCCTCACAGGTTGACGATTGTAAGTTGTGGAATGTCCGGACACAAACAAGATTAACCAACAATTACAATAATTGGAACTCACACAACTATTTAACACAAACATATGTACAATCAATACATAAAATGTTGTGGATTCTGGCACGACAAACTACCCTTGAAGGACTGTAGGACTTACAGAAGTGCGCCTACATTCCTTCTCAGGTTGATGATCCAAGTGGAAGTCGTCCGGACACAAACAGAATTACCAACAGCTAGATGACAGATGATATCAATTCAGTATATACAATACGAACATATGTACAAAATCACACACCAAGCACATTGGACTGCTCATTGATGCGCTACCCTTTGAAGAATTGTAGGACTTACGACAGTACGCCTACAACCCTTCTCAGGTTGACGCTGTAGGTTGGAAAATCGTTGCATAGTTCATTTGCCGACTTCCCTCTATCAGCTATATCCTCAAATCTGAACAGTAACACGCTCATGTCATTGTATCGTAGAATATAGATGACGAACAAACACACGACGTATCTGGTCAACCAAGCGTAGAAACAGAGTAATTTACACCAAAGATAATAGCATTCAAATAGTAACTTGAAACTAGAAATGCCTTTATTCGTGCAAGTCAATTTAACAATTACTCTCTCGTTTACACTTGGCTTATCCTCACTAAACTGAGCAATGTCTTTCGTCCTTTCAAATGCACCAATACTATCATAGTCATTGCACAAGATACCTGTGTTGATGGGCGTCTGTTTCATTGTGGATGAAAGCACCAACGACGACTGATTGATATCAGTTGATGAAGTTAGCTGATCCACCACGCTGTTGTTGCTCGGCTTTCAGAAGTTTGTCTACCTGCAAGACCACCACCACTGGTGTCTTTTACTATCAGCTCAGGTTTAGCACTAGCATCTGATGATAGGTGGGCTACATGCTGATCAGTCACACTGACGGTCTCACAAGTATGCATGCCTTCTGCAACTGCATCTGCATTTATTTCCACTTCACGTTCAAGTTGTACAGAACTTTTGCTCAACTCAGCAGTAGTAGGCATATCCCTCATCTCATCCTGATCAAGCAAAGACAAATCTGCACTATCATGATCATTATCACAAATATTCAATTTACCATCATCTATCTGGTCGACTTCATCATTTTCAAACTCTTTAATAATAGAAGTAGACAATTTTGGTTCCTCCTCACAAATCATTAAAGGTTTTATATCTTCACTCTGACTAGTTATCCTTTGTAAACTTGTGGAGTCAGAACTGCACTCTGAAGCAATAACTCTATTCTGTGACACTCTATTCAACAATGGCTTAACAGCTGCAATTACGGATCGCAATTACAGCATCGCACAATACAAATTACTGCAGATAATAACCGAAACTTACACGATGCTCACACCCTGCCCACTATGTGCTCAGAAGTATCAATAATACAGATTCAATTCTCTCACCTGTAGAACTTTGGTATTTATATACGTTTGAACAAGGTATACAAACCAAAGTGCTATTCATAGAAAATAATAAATTTTGTTGCTGCGAGAAAAATATAGAAGGAGGCTCCTGATTTTGATTCTAGTGCGTCGGTGGCACAACGGTTAGGACGCTCGCCGACCATGCATATGTTCCGGGGTTCGATCCTCCGCCGACGCACTCCTTTACCTCGCTAAGCCAGAAGTGAAAGCTATTAAAGATAAAAGGTTGGGCATGAGGCTAGCAGACAGACTACCAGCCAAGTTCAACACTCAAAAGCTGAAGGACCAAGCTACAAAGGACATCTTCATTGCAAGCAAAAAGGACAAAGCAGAGATAGAAATCAACACTAGCGAAGAGGTAACGGTCGAAAACCACTGGGACAACTTGAAAACGGTCTGGAGTCATACCTGCATGGAAGTTCTGGGCAGAAAGAAGAGACAGGACAAACAGTGGCTCGCTACGGACACTTGGAAACTAATAGAAGAGAGAAGGACGGTGAAACAAAAGATTATCCAGTGCACCGACGAACAACAAAAACAGGAGTTGAATGCAAGCTACAATACGCTGAACAAAAGAGTGAAGAAGAGTGCCAGGGAAGACAAAAGAAAATATTATGAAACCGTGGCAAGTGAAGCAGAACAAGCTGCAGGCAAAGGAGACCTTGCCATACTCTACCAAACAACTAGCCACCTATCGGGTAGAAGTTCGACACAGATTAAGTCAGTAAACGACGACAATGGAAAGTCAGTCACCAAAGAAGTGGAGCAAAGAAAACACTGGGTTGAACACTTCAAAAGACTTCTAAATCGACCGCCACCTACAACGCACCCGACAATACCAACAACGGAAGCAGAACTACCAGTGAACACTGACCCCCGACGAAATCAGAAGTCCTGAATGCAATCAGGATGCTTAAAACTGGGAAAACACCGGGACCAGATGGAATCCCAGCAGAGGCTTTGAAAATAGACCCAGAGACAACAGCGGACTTGATGACACCACTACTGGAGAAGGTGTGGAAAGAGGGCAAAGTACCCGAGGATTGGAAGAACAGCTACTTATTCAAACTACCAAAGAAAGGAGACTTAAGTCAATGTAAAAACTGGCGTGGAATTATGCTCTTGTCCATCCCAAGAAAAATACGGAGCCGTATCATCCTGAAGAGAATCAAACAAGCCCTGGATGCAAAATTCCGACCGGAACAAGCTGGGATCAGGAGAAACAAATCATGCATCGATCAAATCGCTACACTACGGATCATCATTGAACAAAGCTTGGAATGGCAGTCACCTCTCCACCTCACTCAACTTCATCGACTTTGAAAAGGCCTTCGACAGCGTCGATCGAGAGGTGATTTGGCAACTACTTCACCATTACGTGGTCCCATCGACAATTATACATCTCATCCAACAGTTATACGACAATGTTGCATGCCAAGTAATCCACAACGGGAAACTTATGGGAGCCTTCGGAGTGAGGACGGCAGTGAGGCAAGGCTGTCTACTATCGCCAATGATCTTCCTGATTGCAGTAGATTGGATAATGCGACAGACAACGGCAACCAACGAGGGAACAGGCATAAAATGGACTGACACAAAAGACTTGGAGGATCTGGATTTCCCCGATGATATATGTCTGATTTCCCACGAACTTGAAGATGTGCAAGTGAAAAGCAACAAGTTGGCAGAAGAAGCATCAAAGATAGGACTTCAAGTGAACATAGATAAAACAGAGGTGATGATGATTCCTGGCCAACATCAACAGCAACAACAACAGACGACAGTTAGCATAAATGAAAGGAACCTGGAGGAAACAACCTCCTTTACCTACCTACCTGGGAAGCATCGTTTCAACTACAGGCGAACGGAACTGACGAGGATATCAAAGCCAGAATCGGAAAAGCAAGACAAGCTTTCATTACTCTCAAATCTGCGTGGAGGTCAACAGCACTCAGCATCAAAAATAAGATCCGAATTTTAATCCCCGATGTGAAGTCCTTCAGTGCTACTTAACATACGGATCAGAGACTTGGCCAGCGCGTCATAAAGAGCATCTCAAACAAACTACAGACCTTCATTAACAGTCGTCTTCGCTCAACACTCAAGATCAGATGGCCAGAAAAGATCAGCAACAGGGATCTCTGGCAATGAGTGAACCAACCCAGCAGGAACCGATTGTGCAAGAAATAGGCAGGAAGAAATGGAGATGGATTGGCCGGCCATACGCTGAGGAAACCATCAAGTGACATCACTAGACAAGCCATTGCTCGAGTGAAACCCGAGAGGGAAGCGGCGAGTTGGTCGTCAGTGCGAGGGTGACTTGGAGGAGGTCATGTGAAGAGGAGATGAAAGCAAGTGGGCAGATTTGGAGCGGGGTGAAAAAGTTGGCAGAAAACTGAAGGCAATAGAGACGCGCAGCTGAAGCCCTATGTTCCTCTAGGAATTAAAAAATACGATAATAATAATAATCATGAGGGTAGCAACCCCATCCTGTAAAAATTGAAACTGCTACAGAAATTTCAAGCCTCTAGCTTGGAGCCCTATTTTCCACTGGGAACGTGAAGGAAAAAATATACTCAAATTACGTGGATCCACCTGGGAAGTTGGTCGCCTGCGCCTTACATGTATCTCATGTTTTTTACCCAGCCAAATAAATTCCTCTCCCTTCTTGAGTGTCGAAAATATATTCGCTCGCGAGTTCTGTAGGTTCACTTACAAAATCGAATGTCCCTGAACAATCTAGCCGAGTGTCAAACAGTATAACATCTCAAGTTTGTCGACAAATTTTAGATTGAAATATTTAAATTAATTTGTGGGATGACTGCCATTTACATTAAGTTCCTAATCCTAATATGAACCTAATATTGGTCCAATTTATCGCTGTAGTCCTCAAATATTGTTAATCTTATTCTTTATCCTCAAAAATTGCTAGACCAGACTACCAACAAAGTATGAAAGCAAAAATATACATATTAATAATTACTAGTGACATTATCAACCAACTCAACGTTATTCTGTAAGTTAATAGTGGCTTCTGTCAGCTAAATTTAACCTATTATTTTCCAAAGTAGTGAAAGAGCCTAAAGTTTATCGTCACTTGTTTTTATGAATCAAGATCGTATGTACTTCGCCATTTCAAGGTTGTTTTTATAGTGCACTGAATAAAAAGTTTTGCAAATGTCAATGCAAGAATTCTCGGACAATTTGTCCACCTTGTCGTACATGTCGCGACATCGTATTCCATCTTGGTTATATGATTCGAAGAGTAAGGCACTCTTTGGCCGTACTGGAAAGAGCTGGGGTACGTTTTCACTTCGTTTGTTTATACTGTTTAGTTCTGTGTCTTTTGTTCTACGCCACTTATTATGCTTGTCTGGCAGCGTTTTTCACTGGTTTGCTGTGGCTCGTTTTGTATTTCAACGTTCCGGAAGATCATCCTGCCCGCACAGGAAAGCAAAGTTTACTGGATTTCAAACCTGGTAAATACAAATATTTGTTCTACTCATCTTTTTATCTCAACAGGTTTGGGTCTCCGCCCAACTGTAGAAGTTCAGAAGTCAATGATTAAATTTTCTACGGGTGATCCTCAGACCTATTTCCCTCATGTGGATAATATAGATGCTTTTTTGCAAACGTATAAAGACGTAAATGCAAAACCTGATAGTCAGTTTGCAAGTTGTAAAGGCAAAGATGCCGATACAAAAGATGTTGACAAAGTTTGCAAATTTTCTCTCGAGAACTTAGGACCCTGCAACAATAAAAATAGCTATGGTTACAGTAAAGGGACACCGTGCGTTTTGCTTAAATTAAATAAAGTAAGATATTTAATTCATATGTGATTGTTTACATTTAAATTTGGTAACGTGCTACAGATATATATATATATATAATGCGTTGGTTTGCATTAAAACTCTGTTTCGAGGGGGGGGATTTAAGCAGCAAATCTGAATATTAATCTACTGTGAATATTTTTTCCTCACAGATCGAACGATTTTGTGAGGGGGTGGGTATATACAATTATAAATCCAAAGTACATTTCATTTTCATGCGCTCCTGGACTAGAAAATCTTGTATTATCATTTCAGTCTTGATACTAAGCCTTGATCTCAAAAAATTTAATATCGTCCTTGATACAATCGTAAAGGTCCATATCAGTAAACAGCAAGCTTGACCATTTTGAAACCTGAGCATCTGGCCCCATTTGGCCGACTATATATATATATATATAGTATAAAATATTCCATCAATACACATGCTTATTTCATATTAATAAACTGATATTCATGTTTGCTTCAAGATACTAATGTGGTTGTTGAAAATGATATAATTCAAAGCAACAGCTTGACTTACAGTTCCCTCCTCAGAATTTCCGTTCGAATCCGTTGTAGCCATTTTGGAAATAATCGGATTGTAAAAGCTGTCATCTGATGTAATATTTGGATTTATGGTTTAGTAATCCATAACATTAATTATTATATGACAACCCGTAACTGCTAAGGTTTTATTTTATGGTTTTGTCCTGAGGATGAATTTAGTTTGTTGATCAACTATACCCGGTGTCCTTTATCAAAGTACCTTTGATAATTTTTTTAAATTCTAGTAATGACGACTTTGAGGAACACCAGCATACTTTCCATAAACCAAAAGAAGAGAAATTAAACTTGAAGTTATTTTCGATAAAAATTGGCACAAAATTTGGATAAGACATTGAATCAACAGGCTGATTCTTAAACTCACCTTTAAGTAGATATATAGGGGACAGAGAGCCCTTTATATACAATAAATTACGTGTTGCTTTGACTATTGACAGGTTTCTACACTACTTAATTGGAAATGTCAACAGGAGGATAAACTACTGATTTAAAGTCTGAAGAAAAGCTACTTCTTCTAGAAGCGTCTTGCACTTCAAATCACTAGTTAATAGCAGTGGTATATTTTTACAAAATAAAGTAATATATTGACACAGACTAGACCTGTAACTGATGAAAAATACGGGATCTTAGTAGTAGAAGCAAATGTTTTCTGATCTTGTTAAAGTGACTGCATTCTTTAATCCAGGTATGTATATGCTGGTTACAAAATAACTTTAAATGGATTATTTTTTGCAAAGTGAAGTCCTCATAAGTAATCTAAGTAGGGATAAGGGCTATTTCCAGTCCCTGTCTAAATATAGTCTGTTTGCGCAGAAATTGGACGGTACATGAAAATGTATATCTCATATGGTGTAGTATGTATTAACAAGTTATTTACGGTTATATACTCACTCTGATAAGAAGTTGAAAACACAGTTTTGTAGAAAATGTGATCGAAAACTTCTTAGAATGGAGGAGGAATGGTATAACGTGAATCTTCGAATTATAGCATTACTGTCATCCTGTCGCTCACGTTGTACCAACATATTTGGCAATTGCTCTTATTGTTTGCTTGAATGATATTTAAACTCACTGTATAAAAATCATGCTTCTATCCTGTATATTTTTCTCTTAGCGTTTTTAGATGTGCGTAAGCTGCTACACGATTTCTTTAATATTTTGCACCATAACTAATAGTGTACTACTGATTCAGTCACTAACTTCTACACAATTGATCTTCACTATTTAAGAGCATAGGATTCTTGCGATACGAGTCATATATAATACGTCACAAACAGTTATCACTACTATTATTCCCTAGAGTTCCGAGTAGAACATAAGACTTCAGTGGCACATTTTTATTTCACTTTGTTCTTTGACGCCTTTCTTTGGCTGGCTCCACAATTGTCTACAAGTTTTCACTTTCTCCTCTAATCAAAGATGAATGGCTTCCCATGCGTGAAGCAAGCGCATATGTCATTGATGTATAGTGTAAATAGTAGGGGTCCAATGACACTACCTTGTACTACACCAGAAGTGATAGGGCTAGGTTTGGAGGTTGCAGACCCGAGTTTAACTATTTGGGACCTGTTGTTAAGGAATGATTTAAGCCATCCTAATAATGGGTCACGTATTCCTAAGGAGTTCAGCTTATTTGTTAGCAGTATATGGTCAACACGGTCAAATGCCTTAGAAATGTCAAAGTAGATGACGAGTACTAGTTGCCGTCTGTCACGACTGCTGGTTACAAAATTGAAGAAGTCTAGGTGACATGTTAAGCATGATCTGGATTTCAGGAATCCATGTTGGTTTGGACTTATAATATTCCAGCTAAGCATATGTTTGATTAGGTTATCTTTGACCAGTCTCTCCATGATTCTAGATGCTATAGGTGTGATATTGATCGGCCGGTAGTTACTGACTTCAGTTTTCGAGCCAGATTTGTGTTTAGGCATAATGAATGTTGTCTTCCATATGTCAGGGTAAGTTTGAGTTTCTAGGGACATTGTGAATATTTTAAGAAGCAGTAGAGGAATGTCAGGGCCACCATATTTATAGAAGTAAGATGATATACCGTCGGTACCGAAACCTTTTGAACTTTTGAGGGTTCTTATAGTTTGGTTAATATTAGCGTAAGTGAATTGAACAGTGCTGATTTTATTTGGTGTGAGTGGAGATGGAGTTTGTGTCATATTAGTAGTAGGGTGTATATCGAGTAGCTGGACTGAGGGCTTAATGTAGTTACCTGCAAAAGTTTTGTTGAATAGTTCACATATGTCTGTAGAGTTAGTGCATAGCCTACCTTTGTCTATGAGGAGAGAAATGCTGTGATTTTTGCGATTCATTCGCTTCCTTAAGATTTCTGTGAGTGCATACACTCTAGCAGGACTGGCTACTGCAGTGCGTTCTTCCTTTCTCATACGGTGATCTCGAGCTTGTGAGATGGAGCTAAGGGTGTTAAGTATTAGACCTAGAGTGCCAAAGTCGTGGTGTTTGAAGTAACTTGTTGAGAGTCTCTTCAGTTTCGTACGATCCTTTGGTTTTATGAATGACTTTCTGTGTGGGGAAACCTTTAGTGTTTGGAGTGGAATGACAGCATCTAAGCATGTGTTAGTGTTATGGTAGAAGATGGTTAGGGCTCTCGAGAGGTCATCAGTAGTGAAGTATTCATCCCATTCGGAGGATCTTAGCATTGATTCTACCAAGGCCCAGTTTGCCTTACTATAGTTCCTATATATTACTTGTTGTGAAGTGGAGGTATGAGATGCATTGCTACTCAGCGGAAGTGGCAGTGCACATACCACTGTTTTGTGGTCGCTCCCTGGAAACTCAGAACCTACTAGCGTTGAAAGGGGGCTTATATTGTGGCAGAAGATTAAGTCTAGTACGTTATTACCTCTTGTGGGAGTAGTGACAGTTTGTTTCCAGCCAAGTATATCCAGCGTGCCTAAAAACTTATCAAATTTAGTTGGGCCTGTGGGTATATCCCAGTTAATTTCAGGTAAGTTAAAGTCCCCACATAGGATCTTATGGTCGTATTGTAAGTCGGATAATTGCTCCAGAGTATTAATAAGTTGGGTCTCGTAATTACTAAAGGTGCCAGGTGCTCTGTAGGTGCATCCAATTAATGCTGTTACGTTATTTAGGTGTACATTAACCCATAGAGTCTCAGGCATGTTAAGTGTACTACTTTCTAGCTGTGATACAGTAAGTGCATTCAGAAAGTACATGAGACAACCCCCTCCCTTACCACCTTCCCTGTCACACCGAAAGTGTGTGTAGTTATCTAAGCTTATTTCTTCATCCAGGATGTTCGAATGACACCAAGATTCAGTGATGACAATTACAGGGGGTTTGTATATTACTGTGAGTGCTCTGAGCATCGGCAATTTATTTAGAACAGATCTAGCATTTATGAGGATTAGGTAAAGATGAGAGTTGAAGTAGCATTTGAAGTATTCAAGTTCGTTAGTCAGCCCCGAATATGGTTCAGCACCCAGTAGTTCTGCTTGACATGATGATCCTATGTTAAGAGGAGTTTCAGCATCATGCTCACCTATGTCTATCGAGTTGGTGTGTGCTGTTTTCGGTGAAGAATTAAGATTTGGAGTACTGGATGTGCTATAGACCGAGGAATTTTTATTTTTAGTCAGGTTACAGAAGTGGGTAGGGTTCTTTATTTGACCTATATTTGTGCAGGTGTCAAGTGTGCCTAATGGATACGGGTGCACTAGACTCCCTGGAGGCTGTAGTGTCCCTATTTTACAGGAATGTTACCCTTTGTCTAGATGCTTTCGCTCCACGGAATACAGTGAAAAAGAGTTTTTTTATCTTGCATCTTTTAACTTATCTGTTGAGGATGTACTACGAAACCTGTTACACTCACTAGGTCTATATGCATTACTAGACATCATGGAGCCTTTTCGATATCCATCTCTCTGTGGCCCTTTCCTCATCATTGATTGCGTTTTACACTCAGACTGCTCTATTCTAGGGGTGAGATTCAATATACTGGCAAACTTGCTCATAGATTGATTGACACTATCTTTTACTAGTTTCAGGATATCATCAAATTATGGCTCGATACCCTCATCCTCCATACGGGAGCTTATCTTCACCCACTTCCTTTGCAGTCGAGTAGGTAGGCGTCTTGCAATTACCTCTAGGACTGAGCTCGAGTTGAGGTCACTCATGCAATTCATCGAAATCAATGCATTCTTGTAAATCAACAAATTATCCATAAACTCAGTAAGTGCCTTGGAGTCATCTTGAAGTTGACTGCCGTTACCTTTGACAGCTTCGAATACGTTCCTTATAATCATTGAAGGTCTTCCAAACCTTTGACGTAATATGCTCATAGCCTCAGCGTATCCCTCATTAGGGGGCATGAGCTTACAGCACTCTATAGCTCTTGAAGCATCTCCAGTGCAATACCTCATCAAATACATCAATTTCAATTCATCACTTAATAGAAAACTACTCAGCAT